GTCTCTCTCTGTCTCTATCTGTCTCTGTCTGTCTCTGTCTGTCTCTGTCTGTCTCTGTCTGTCTGTCTGTCTGTCTCTCTGTCTCTCTGTCTCTCTGTCTCTCTGTCTCTCTGTCTCGCTGTCTCTCTGTCTCTATGTCTCTCTGCCTCTCTGTCTCTCTGTCTGTCTGTCTGTCTGTCTGTCCGTCTGTCCGTCTGTCCGTCTGTCCGTCTGTCCGTCTGTCGGTCGGTCGGTCGGTCTGTCGGTCTGTCAGTCTGTCGGTCTGTCGGTCTGTCGGTCTGTCGGTCTGTCGGTCTGTCGGTCTGTCGGTCTGGGTCTGTCTGTCTGTCTGTCTGGCTGGCTGCCTGCATGTCTACCTGCCCGCCTGTCTGTCTGTCTGTCTGTTCGTGCGGCATGAATACATGACATACTTGCGAGTCGGGCGCCGTCATTGCAGCTCAACAGCCTGTTCACACCGAAGCATAGCCAGTGCAAGCCAAAGGGCACAGGACCCTGCCACAAAGCGTGTCCCGAAGGCACATCTGATGCACTGCTGCTGGTAATAGAAGCCGTCACAGGTGCAGACGGAAAGCTCGGCAGCGCCCTCAGGGGCTGAGGCAAAGGACGTTGCAGGCACTCCCTGCACAAGCTCTCCTCCCAAACACTCTGCCTCAAAACTCGTGGTCTGGCCCGGGGGGCACATGGTGCATTGCTGCTGGCCGTCCTCAGCTTGTCTGCGGAATGCGGTGAAACAGGAACAATCTGCGTTTCGTCGCGGCTACTGTTAGAATCTTAGAAGCTGTCGAATTGGTGCTACCAGGCAGAAGCCAAGACCACAACTGCTAACCACTGCCACCCTAGCCACATTTTCTGCATATTGCCCCAGCGGACACTTCTTGCCTGGCGGCCAACTGTACGCATATGTACGCATGGAACCCTCACGCTTTCAACGAAAGCATGATATGACATGGTGCGCCCATGCTTCGACCGAAGAGCAGGCAGGACAATGTGCCGGCGACACATTGCGAAGCACCCCGCTCGTCCATGTACTGGCCTGGGGCAGCAACCGACAACGCGATCAAGCCACCACGAAGCATGGTGGGACATCCCGCGGCAAACATGCTCCAAACGTCCGTCTCAGCTGTTTTTTCATGTCGGCCGATTTGCCTGACGCATCTCCCGAAGCCCTCCAGAAACAAACGGAAGGAAACTTATTCTGCCCCGTCCTGCAGGACAATCCTGGCACGACGATGCCCGCGGGAATGGCGCCTTCGTACCAGCACCACACAAAGTGCAGCCTGCCATTCCGGGCTGGTCTGCGAAAGACCCTGGTGCACATTCACCACATTCCTGCATCCCACTCGTGGCATACCTGGTCGTGGCGAAAAGCAAACTTTCGCCACAGCCAGGTGAGGAAGTACCCAAGGCCATTTCATCGAAATGAAAAAATGCGATCTGAGGTACTCGCCAGGAGGGCACTGGATGCAACCAAGTTCGATAGAAAACACTGTTCCATCCGGGCAACTGTCTCCACGATCTTTGGGCACATGCCCCGAAGATAAATCACAAGTTCCAGTGCTACAGGAAAGATGGTGCAAGGGATCAGGGCTCCAAGCGATGTCTGCCTTGAACTCTATTCCAGAATCTGTCCGGTAGGCTAGCTCATTAAAGGCATTGTCGAAGCTTCCGACCACCTCAGAACGGATCACGCGTGGGCTGCATAGCTTTTGCATCCAAGATGATGAACATGAGCACTTCATCATTATCCGCATGAAGCTCTGACTTTCGCTAAGACACCTGGCGGAAAAGGATGATTCCTTCCCGGTCTCCATGTGAGGGAGGTGTTGTAGTTGGATCCACGGAGTTGAAAAGCCGCACCCGTCCAGTCAGGCCGACGAAGTCTGTTGAAAGTGACAAGTCATAAAGGGCTTGGCGCGAGGCTTCAGTTCGCAGATCGGATATTGACCTCAGAGGCTGCCAGCTCTGCTCTTTCAGTCTTTGAAAGCAATTAACTTCTGCAAACTGTCTCCGTGCCCCGCCTCCCTCCATCTACCAAATAAGCATGCAGAACATGCGCAATCAACCACAAGCCATCGTAGAAATATGCAGCCCACTGGTGGTTGCAAGGGCCATTGCCGTTGGCAAAGCCATTACATTCGGATGTGTAGTTTGCATAGATGTCTGCAAGTCGCACACCAGAGAGTTCATGCAGATCATTGGTTTGTTGCATAGGACCGCGATCCAGCGCCAACATACCATATGCTGCACGGTGCAACTCCTCTGCAGTGCAAGGACAATCCGCGGCACCTGCTCTCTCCAAGATGAAACCAGGGTTCCACCAACCAGATGCCACGATGAAGATGTAGTCCGGGGAGAGCATGTTTAGCTTGTAACTTTGGCACAGCAACATGGACCCAGTGTCTGCATACAGCGCCACGAAGTTGATGCGTGAGTCTGTCCGACGCATTTCGGCCAGCGCATGCTGGGCATCGGGAATGTTACCCGCGCTGGTGACGGCGCTTATGTGCAGGATTGTCCATGGATACGCCTCAGAATCCACATCTGCCTGGATAAGCTCCACGAACATGTCCTCGCATCTAATTCTTTTGGAAGAAACCACAGGCTGCGAACGAAGTCCCCTGGAGGCTTCGCCGTGTCTGAAAAAAGTGCCTCTCACTTGATGAACACCATGGTGCGACCTAGGGTCCCGAACCCTAAACCCTCAAGAAAACCCTACCCCTNNCCCCCCCCCCCCCCCCCCCCGCCGACTTTCCCCCGACGTCCTTCGCAAGGATGTTGATAGCGTTAAACCCGTGCCTCGAAGCGAGCAGCTGTAAACGAGTATCACAAAAGCCACGGGCTGGCTGCTCAAACGCGTGTTTCCCCGTCATGCACAATGCATCCAAGCATCACGACGCCAACTCTATGAAAATGCAGGAGTTTCATGAACTCGTATACGGCCAAGATGTTGAATCGATACGACGGAGCCATTCGGGTGAAGTAGGGGTACCGGACCTTGGCTCATCGTGGCCCGAAACAAATCAGATCATGCAGAAACCCAGAACAGCTGCAGAGGGCAATGTCACAAGAAGTGTTTGTTTCTCAACACGCCAGGGTGCCGAATCGCTCAAGCTCGTAGACGTGCAGCCCGGACCTACCTGCCCAGGCTTGCCGCACGACGAACCTCGACATGTCATATCCCATGCTGCTACACCCTCACCTACACCATCCTACACCCGCATGATTCGGCCTGAAGCACATTGAAGAAAGAAGCCGCATCATTTATAGCTTCGCACGCAGAACTGCAAGAATCACCTGCCATGAAGTTCAGCTTGCAGCATTGCGTAGATTTGCTTGGTGCCATCAGCTCCAACTTCTGCTTCTGTCAAGCCGCCGAAAATAATGTGTTTGGGCACACCCGTCGACAATGCCGTAACTGTCGCCACGGTGGCATCTCTTGCGTTGCATTTCGTGTCCACCAGCAGCATTCGTAATCGGTAGCCTGCACCACATGTTTCGTCTTTTCTCAACCTATCGTAAACCCCGATCCCGATCTGCCTGGAAGAATGTTGCTGTTCTCAATATCTTGTGTGGCACTGGCAAGGGCTGGCTCAACCATCGTCATCAAATCACCGGTGGAACCACTGTAGGGACTCATCACCTCAGGATTCCGCAGGTTTTTCCGCGTGTTCTCCCAAGGTTCCAGAGGTCAACACGCGTCTAGAAGACTTCACGAGCTAACAGGCGCTGAAAATTCGCAAGCTCTGCTCACACTTTCTGCAGATATGATGATAAGAACATAGCATGTGGTCTGATTTTCCGCCGTCTTTTAACAAGCCCAACCACGTGCTTCCTCTTTTCTGGGTGACCGCTGCCAGCGGCTAAATTGAATATCCTTCCTGTGTCCCATGCCCATGCCCTTCTCTTTCCTTGCCTGCGACGACGAAATCGGGACTACAGGCACAACCCAAACCTGCACACAACTAAACACTACTGTCTCGTTTCTGTCTCTGTCTCTGTCTCTGTCTCCCTCTCCCTTTCTCTCCCTCCGCGTGCCGGTACAATCGACCCAAGAACATCCTGCGAGTCTGCCATATGTTCAAGTGCCAGCCACCAGTACATTGATCTCGGTGGCCCCCGCACGAGCCTTTGTCCCAGCAAACCGGAAATGCACACGGCTGGATCACGCGCAGCAATTCCTACATGCGAAAACTCCCAACGTCGTTCAATCATGTCCAGGCCGAGGGCTGGATTCGCTGCTGCTATGATCTCGCAGTTTGTAGCATGGTACCTCGACGGAGTGTGCAAAGATTCATGCTGCACCCCTGCCGCAAGCAATCACGCAAGGCTGTACAACAGGAGCGTGTGTATCGGATGTGCATGCATGCTACTGCAATGCCGACACGCCTGCATGGCCACTGCGAGTTGTCTGCGGCCGTGCACAAAGCAGGGCAAGGTGAACTTGTCGACCCATTGGCCGCCACTAACAATGTCAGCCAACCTTGATTCATCGCTTGCATTTGAGGTTCATGGGTAGACTCTGTTTCAGCGGTTTTATGTTTTGTACTTCTCTGCGTCTTGGCTTCCCCGATTGTCCTGTAGCCTAGGCGTCGGGCTCCTCTTGCACGGGCATGTGAGGACACCAAGAGTAGCGCAAGGGGGCAGTGGTGGGTCCCTGTGTTGGTCGCCCAAGACAGGCCGACTACGTTGGCATGTCAGGGCATGCGGCTGGCAAGCGGAGGGGAGGGAACCATCGGCGAGAAGACACTGAGGAGCAGAGGATCTCCGTCGACATCTGCACCGGGAAGCGGCAAAGAAAGGAGGCTGGTCGCGAAGGCGAGGGCAGCGGCAAAGGCGAGCAGAGCGGACCACCGAAGCACATAAGCAGATATGCATGCACTCTGCAGTGGCGGGGTGCAGACCGCGTGGGCAAGGAGCCGGAGGCAGCTTCCGGGCACCACCTGCCGCCGGTTTCTATGTCCAGCTCGACGAGGCGGCAACGGCCGGAGTTGCAGAGTTCTGGATGAGCGCACTCCTTGCCCGACGAGCGTGGCGCAAAGCAGCCCCGACAGTACGCATGCTCGACACGAAGGTGGTGTCGACCGCGACACGGACCCGTTTGCTATGACCTCGATGCGGCGGTCATCGTGTCGGCCGGATGCGACATTGAGGTCCCGCACCAAGACGTTGGTTGCAACAATAGCAGTAGCACCAGCTTCACGGCAGACACGAGCGGCAGCACGCTCTAGTGGGGCACCTCTGGCGGGTAACACTCCGGAGCGGGGTGGAATACGGACGCTCTTCGCTTCGTGCAGGCGGCCCTCGTCCGCCCCGCTCGCACCGCCCCCTTCCAGCGTTGCGCAGCGCAGCGCGAACGGTCTGGACGCGGCGGTGGTGGTGCCAATTGTCAGTGGCGGTGCAGCAAGCCGTGGCCACCGGCGGGACGCAGTCGCTTGCCGACCCGCTGATGGGCAGTAGAGTAGAGGTAGAAGAGGCCGGTAGACCGTTGTAAGGTGGTCGCGGCTTGAGACCGCTTCAGCAGAGCGGAAAAGTCCGTGAAAAAAGAGTCGCAGTCATGGATGGATTTGCTGCCGGTCCATGCCGGGCTGTCCACCAACGTATACTGGCACGGCAAAGCATGTTCGAAGCAGTAGCCGGAGGCCGGAGCGAGGCGGCTGGTGGACGCGTACGCAGGTTGCTCCGAACAATTCAATGATCCGAGCTGCCCTCACCGATCCGGCCAAAAAGCCATCTCAACTGCGACCCACCCTCCTGCATCTACCTCATCCGGCTGCCGCCGGCAGCCGAGTTGGGCGAAGGGCCCGTGCCTCACTTGCATGAGGCGAAGTCCTCGCCGATGCGCGCTGCTGGGACTGATGCAAGCTGCATGCCCACGGCCGTTGGCCGCGCCAATCCATATAAAAACATCCATACCCCCTACAGAGGCACACTGGTATAGAGGCAGCCCGCAGACACTTCAACGTTGGTGCAAAAAGGCGTTTAAGAAACGCCAAGGGTTTAGGGTTTAGGGTGCAGAGTGGCATCCGTGATTTGTACGTTGGAATTTGCCTGGCGCAATTCGTGTTTTGTTACCCCTCGGCCCGCGAGGTAAAACCAAGAGTCGTTTCCACTGTCGCTGCTTGCTTGTTTGGGCCGAGTCATCCTACAGCAGCCGTGTGACAACCAGGGAGTAGTGGGCGCTTCCGCGAAGGGCGCTGCCATGACCCAAGCATTGTCCGAGGTATTGCAAGCCACCGCAAACTTCTGTTTGGAGCAGGGCGTCTCACTTCACATCTCGCATGGGCTGACGCCCTGTGTCCTGGCCGGGAAGCGCTGCCGCAAGTCTGGGGGAAGTTGCAGCAGACCGTCCGTCATCGGGTGGCATGGCGACAGCTATGCGACGACTTAGTACCCAGGCCCAAAGCCTTGTGTGAAAGCCAGTTTGGCTCAAGCTCACAAGTCGGACAGGCTTAACTGTCGGTTATGAGCACCGTCTGACGGCCTACAAACAACCATATGCTGATCTGGGCTTGCGGTATATGTCACCGGACTGAAATGATCAGGCATATTGATATGGTAAAACCCAACACGGGCGTTGTAGGCCGTCACGCTGCCCCTGCAGCAGATGGGTGCTCTGGGACAGGGGCACCCAGGATAAACAAAAACCTAGCTTGCCTTGACCCCCCAGCGCCATCCGGGCCACCCTCTGGCTTAAGACCCTAAGCGCGTTAGTTCCTTCTTCCCTGCCCTGGCTTCGGTTCAATGTGCGACACACCGCCCGATTATTCGCCAGCAGAAGCCACACCTCTTGCACCAAGTGCGGGACTTCCTCTTCCTTCGCCGCCCAGTGTCCACTCCTCGCCGAGACTGCCGGGAGGCAGCGTTCCCGCCACGGACGCGGCCAGTGCAACCAGCAGGCAAGCAGCGGCGCCTACCACGCCGCCCTGGCTTCTCAGCAATGATGCGCCCTCACCCCAGGCATGCCCGTCCACTGATACCTGCCCAGTCTGCCTTTGCGAATTCCCTTTGCACGCCCATGGACCCGAAACGCCTTTCCTTTGGCCGCGCTGTTGCCATGCACCGTACTTGGGTTGTGTGGCCCATTTGGTTGCTAATGTCGGGAGCTGCACTGTCCTACATGCCGGGCGCCATGGCCGCCCTCAGCCGCCGAGGCCTTCACTGGCGCTTGCCGCACACACAGCCCCGTCAGGGTGACCGTGCAGACCGTGCCTTTCACCTTGCACACCTCGGCGATTTGTCACAGCCGCGCGTCAGGCGCTGCTCTGCTCGGCGAGCCCCTCGCCGCAGGGGATGACACTACCTTGCAACGCCTACGCGACCCGGCCCGACGCCCGGTTGAGCCTTACGAACCACTTGATCCCGACATTTTGGCCTGGTGCTGCGACTCCCCCGTCGAACTTTCTTGCCCAGGGGTTCGGGGCAATGTGGTCGTTGATTATCTGCACCGGCTGGTTGCCAGGATTTTGGCTCAACACTTCGCCCCTGCGTTCGATGTTGCCACCCGGCGCCCACACACTCGCCGGTGCCGGTTTCTGAGGCGATGGGACCAGCTCGCCCACACACCTTGCTCCTTGCCTGAACAACTGGATGGCCAGCCCACCGGTTTGCTGCGCGCGCGAGCTGTCTCACTCGAACGAGCAACTGCTCGGGTTTGCCGTGAGGCGGGGGCCACCGTTGCGACCAACGTGCTCATGCGTGACCTCAACCTTATCGTCCACCGGCAGGACGAGCGGCGCATCGAGGTCATCGCCAACGGTCTTCCCCTTTGGAGCGGTGCCCAGCTCGCAGTTGACACGACGCTTGTGTCTGCCTTGGACTCGGCAGGGCAAGCCCGCCGCCACTAGCGCTCCACTGCCGGGTGCCGCCCTGCGCATCGCCTGCAAGGCGAAAGAGCGGACGGTGCCGGCTGGTTGTGCTCGGAATTGAGCTGGGTGGCCGCTGGAGCACTGAAGCTGCGCAGTTCATCCGACTCCTTGCCCGCAGCCGTGCGCGAGCAGCCCCACAGCTCCTGCGCTCGAGTGCCAACACTGCGTATGTCACCCGTTGGTCTGCCTTGCTTTCTTTCGCAGCCGCCCGTGCTCTCGCAGCGAGTCTCCTTTCCCCCCCCTCGCGCATGCTGCCAACGTTGATGGGGACCCCTTGGACTTGAGTGACCTTCTCGGGGCTGCGCACGAGGCACTTCCTCCCTTTCTCCCCAGCCGCCTGCCCCTGTGCGGCTGAGTGGTCATGGACTTCATGGACTTTTCGGCCGCCGTAGTTTGTGCGCTGGGACCGCGTGCAGAATTTCTTCCAAAAAAATTGCCTTGAAAAAAATCAGGCATATTATTCAAAGCTGTCTGTGATCTACATGGGGTGCGATAAGGATTGTAGAGTCCAAATATGTCCAGATCATGCTGCATCTCACCACGTGCCCACAAGGACTTGCAAAAGGACTGCTTGGGCACCCGAAATCTAGGACCTAAACCACAACCAAACCACAAAACCCTGTGTTCTCGCAGGCTGCCGAACTGGCCGCAAAACAAGTTGTCACTTCAGAACCTGGCAGGGTTATGGTTGTTAAGGGTTCCAGGGGGTTCTTTTTTTGTAAGTCCCTACGAGCATGACTCAAGCTACTTGTACACTGATTGTACACTTGTT